ATTCTAAAATGTGATATTTCTAATTAAAGAAAAGAAAAGAAACTTTATATAGCCTTTACCATCTTAACCTATGTGACACATAATCTCCCTATTAAATTGGCTAGTTAATGAGAAATATCCATGGCTAGCTAGTTAATGAGGCATATGGTAAGTGTTATAATATAACCTTAACTTCTATATTAAATAAGCTTAAATATACAAATAAATATTTAAATTATAATTAAATAATGCTATAAATGAAAAATGCTTATTAAATGACCAGTTCCATAAATTCAATCGAGTTCATTAAATGCAAATTAAACTGCATTTAATGTTATTTTTCTTAAAGTTCAACTTTGCACAACATATATGAGAGGTATCCAATGTCTTCTACAATTTTCTTTGAAGAGATCACCATAACTTGATATAAGTGTACAAGGTTTATTGTAGGTTCTTGGCTTATTCTTGTAATTGGACCTCGAAGTATGAACCTTGAAGTATGAAAATTTCTTGGTCATGAATCATATCATTCAATTTTGTATAGACTATCCATGTGGTCAATGGCATTTGTGTAAATATTTCAAACTTTTGATTATTTTATTACTTTTTCCTGAAAAATCAGAACTTTTTCTAAAATTTCCTTACTAGTTCATTTTTTTTTTCTTCTCGAACCTCTATAATTTCCTTCCTGTAAGGAATTAAATTTCCTTATTAGAAAGTACCCTACAAATTAGGAAAACGATCTTTTTTTTTTCTTCTTTTTAAGCTTATTTTTTTTCCTTTCTAATCCTAAGTTCTTACAATTCATTGATAAGATATTGAAAACATCTTCCAGGTATGAATTTTGTTGGGTGGAGTTAGCTTTTAACCAAATTTTGTTGGGTGGAGTTAGCTTTTACAATACTTATATTTAATACTGCATCTAAACTTCCGAGATTTTATGGAGTCTTTAAGGATGAAATTTCAAAATATCATGAAAGAATAGAAGAGAAAAATACTTGAAAAGTCCACAACCTCAAGAAAAATACAAAAGAAAAATGTTGGAAAATTGAGAAAGTGGTCAAAGTCAAATGACTGGAGGGGCATTATGGTCATTCTGCCTCCTTAATTAGGTACCTGAAAACTGAAATTAGAGAGATTAAAGAAAAGTTGATCAGAAAAGGAAAGAAGGAAAGAAAAGAAAAGAAAAGAAAAGAAAAGGAAAAAGAGAATAGAGAGAAAGGAAGGTTATAGAGAGAGAAAAACAGCCTCAACTCCAATTCGGTGACGAGGACTCTGATTCCGGCCGAGCCTCCTTCATAAAACCTTTACAGAACCTAGAGGAGAAGCGTTTTGGATCTTTGGATCATCCAAAACCATCCGGGAACGAAGAAAATTTGAAACTAAGTGGTTGAACTTTTACTCTCGAATTTCCTTCCGATTTTGTAAGAAGTATTGGGAGATAATATTTGAAATTTGAGTATATTAATCTATGAAAAATTGCACTCATATGTGTGAAAGAAGTTATAGTCGATTCAGATCCGAGATAGGAGTTCCAACGTTAGTTCGGATTTGGGAGTTGTTAATTTTTTTGCTAACATTGGACTCCAATATATTAGCCGATGTTTGGAAATAAATTACAAGAAAAATACCTAAGCATAAATGGATATAAACTCTACCAATTTCCTGAAGGAACCATGTTAATCTGAGTTAGGTAGAAAGGAATAAAAAATACAAAGAAAATAGAAAATAATTAGTTTTTCTGGAAATCGCAGCGCTCAGAGGTAGAGACGAACGACAAAGGGACTCGTGTCGATCAACGAGAGGGTCGCGCGTCACCGGCAAAGGAGGACGCGTGTCAAGCGCGCATAGGCGAAGAAAAAAATAGAGGAAATCTCGATAACCCATGCTCGATCTAGCAAAGAGATACGACCTGACTCAGCCCCACTCATCAACGTGAGAAAAACTGTTTCCCAACATGCACTTCCAGTTTTGAACTCACACCCTCAGCCTCGGTGAACCATTCAGTCCACACCACGGGGTGAAACCTCAGCATGCGTCTCCATCCCCTCAGCGCGTCCATATGCGCTCGTGATTTGGCGCAGAAGACTTACTTTGTGCTCGATTTGACTCCTGTTTGACGGTTTTTCATCCCAGTTTTGATACTGGCCTAAATTTAACTTGATTCATGACCTACCAGCGAACTTTCAAGAGATTTAGAGTTCCCAATTAGCGAAAAAGTAAGCTTCAAAGGGTTCGCTTCCTTCTGGTAAGTAAACCCTTGGATTTCAGGTAAGTAATACTGGTAGAGATCTCTAGGACAAGCTAGTATGTGAGCATGATGGACCTTAGGTGGTTAGAATACATGTAATTAGAAACAAGAATGAACAATTTTGGTGATTATGACATGTGCATGATGAAATTATGAAATTGCCCTTAGAACAAGAGAATTGAGAAACAAGTTTAATGTCTTCCGCTGTGGTATGATAGAGGATGGGATATTCTGATCTGTGCTCCAGATGATTGATGGATGTTTTCTCCCTGTTGAGCTTGTTTGAATGTTGATTGTGTCTAGGATTTATGACATGATTTTCCTGCAATAAAGTTGGGTAGGAATACCTTCTTAAATAACTTAAGCGATGGATATACATCATTTATGTGCTAAAGATGCTTGATAAATATATTTTTCCTAGTAGAGCATGCGTCAAGATCACAATTAAGATTAGGGCGCTATAGTTAGTGTGGTTTACATGTAGAACTAGAGGATTGACTTGTGTGCGGGATTGGTTTTGGTTAAGCTGAGAGGTTAACATAGAATGACCTTGAATTGAGAAAAATGGATTTTAAACTGTATGAACGCTCCTAAGAACCTAATATTTCTCCACGGTGTATTGACAAGATTTAAGTAGCTTACATGATCACGAAACTAGTTGAGCTACTATTGAGTGTAGAGTCGAGACAGGGTCGATGCTATAATCCTGTTAAACTAGATTTTTAGAAGAACTAGGGACTACATGGGTAGTTAGCTCAAGACATGAACCCCCTATTGAGAATAGAAACAGGTAACCTGTAAACCAGTCCTGATTGGACTAGGGACTACGCGGGTAGGTGGAAAACCCGATTGAGTGTAGATCAGTTGAACTTGTAAACCAGTGATTGGACTAGAGACTACGTGGGCAGGTGGAGAGCCCTATTGATTGTAGAAACAGGGGAATCTGTAAACCAGTCATTGTTGGACTAGGGACTACATGGGTAGGTGACAAGATAAAAGCCCCTATTGTGCGTAGAAACGAGTCAAAGCTAATGCTGCAACTTCGCGAACTAGTCTTGGTTGGACTAGGGACTACTTGGGTAGGTGGTTTAGCATTAACAACTCCTATTGAGCATAGAAACAAGTCAAGGCCGATGCTGCGACTTCGTAAATCGGTCTTGGAAGAGATCACGGACTACGTGGGTAGGTGGTTTGTCATGAACAACTTCTACTGAGTGTAGAAATAGGTCAAGGTCGATGTTACGATGTCGTAAACTAGTCTCGACAAGGGACTAGGGACTACACGAGTAGACGAACAATGAGGAATAACTTAAGTCATCGTTTAAACCAAAGGAAAGTCGTGCAAACCTACTAGGAGAAGGAAGCGATGAGAGCCTACAAGTAAGTTGCTTACTGAGTATATTTTTATACTCACTCTGTTTTCCCCTTTACTTTCTCAGGTATCGGTCGAGGTGGGGACTTGGGGCATCAGTCAATCAATTGTATTCTTTTGGGTTAATTTTGTAGTCTTTTGTATCATGTACTCTTTTCCCGTTTGTAAATAACTTTGACAATGGCGTTGTATGACTTTTAAAATCATCTTACTATATTTTCTACATTTTTGCTGTTTCTCTTTATTTTGATTTTGTTTTGTTTGTTTTTATTTTCGTCTTTTTAGTCTTGATTTTATTTTCGAAGTCTCGAAAATCGGGTCGTGACACTCTATGTTTAGCCCATCGAAAGTTTTTTACACATGATTTATTTATCTAGCCGACTTCAATAATACCACCCAACCGATTGCAACAACTCACTATTTATATATCTTCCTCTTTCTCCCTCTCTCCTAGGTTAATAATAAGTATTTTAACATATTTAAAAAGTTTAAAATATTTATATATTAACTTAATGATATATTTTCTAAATTCATTGTTTTATATTATTTTTAGAATTATTCATCGACTTCAACATTTTTTTGTTAGGGATAGTTTCATATCTATTTTTGGAAACTAAGACTTGACAGAGACATTTTTAACATTGATTTTAAGTAACATAGGATGGTTAAGTAACATATAAATATGTAATATATATGAAATTATAACATAGTATTAAGCTTATGATTTTCATTGGCCCATGCCAATCTTTAATGCTTTTCTACAAACCATGAATAGAGATGATATGAAAAGTTTTATACAAAAATTTTAGTAGTATGATAGCAAACACAAATATAACGCAATATTTATTTAAAAAGATTGATAAATGAGCAAGGAAATAAATTTGAAGAAACATACGTATATTATTTCGATAGGTTTGACTTGCTAGGAAATGCGGATATACCAGAAAATATAGTTTGAAATTGTCAAAACAAGGAGGAAGATTGCACCAAGGAAGGAGACAATAGCCTATGGCGTATTCAAACAGTTATGTTTGAGTGTAGCTATCGCCATGTTCCATCGTTTATTGCAGTGTTCTCATAAAGGTTTGTTGATATAGTTGAAGTGGCAACAATTTGGGACCGTAACAAATTTACAGAGATTGTTAAATAGTTCTGAAACTTCTATATTACTACCTCCAATTTCGTTGACTATGATTCTGGCTTCCATGAGTAAACTCATATCTTTCTTTGTACATATCAAATGTTCTAGTAACGACATATATTGGATACATTTGTTGTCATTTCCAACGTAAAAATACTTAAACGCTATCAGGTTTCGCATCATGGTTTCAAAGTAATCATCAATAAGTATAGGTGGGATTTCAAAAACTCCATTTTCAAACCTTATGTTTCACACATTTGGCATTTTCTGCTTTCTTGATGGTGACACTGGCTTCTTGGAGCTCAGTTATCGATGGAGGAATAATTGATTTTTCTTCTTTACTATTGTCCTTAGAAGATATCGTGAGGACGAAGAAGAAGCTTAAAACATCGATGAAATGGTTTGGGCTTGGGATATTAGAAAGATAGTAATTATTCACAATCCCATGATGAAAAAATACCGTTGTAAGTCTTATAAAGGGGACGGAGGGATCCTTTTGTTTTATAAAGTCGAATAGTCTTTCCAGAATAAAAAAAGGAATTTTATTTTTCAACTTAACCAGTGCCTATATGAGGAAATCTTCGGATGAATTGAAGATCTACCTTCTGCTCAATTTGAATGAATGAACGTGGGTAGTATTGTTCATAATTTAATATAAACAACTCCGCTATAAAACAACCATCTACCAACAACATTCTAACAAAATCCTCGTCGTTCATGTTTATAGGTTCTCCATAGTAATTTCGGGCTTCATTCACTCAGTTTTGAGCAATTTCCAGAAGAAACTCCAATGAGTTTACGTTGTTTGTCATTCGACGTTGAAAGTTAACAGGACCTTGAAGCTTATATTATTCTGTGGATATCAAATCTTCTCGACCACGATGATGAAATGGGCCAATGGAAATGATTTGGGGGGTAAAGGCTGTATTATTCATCTGACGTAACAGTTTGGGAACTCCATAGATGCTACATCCTACATTAACAACAGGTAGTTGCTCTAGCATTGTTTTGATCGATGACACAACGTTACCACCAAATTGTTCGTTCATATTACCTTCTGCCAAGCTATGTCGTGTTCTCGATACACTCCAATCTAACTCTTCTTCACTTGAACTAGAACACCTACGTTTTCAAATCTTCTCTAATAGGAATGTCGAGCTTTGAAACGGAACTTATCAAACATGAATTTTAAGGTAAGAAGAAAAGAGAGAATTAAGGAAGTACCTTGTTTGGAAAATTGATGGAGAAAGATGCAAGAAGAAGATGGAGTAAGAGAGGGCAATGGATGTTGAAGAAAGAAATAGGCAAAATTATTTCACGTGGGAAACTAAATATATTGAACCAAAGAAAAGTCAAAAGGACAGTGAGACACTATTGTGCGTATCACGTCGGAGAGGCAACATAGTCAACATAAGGACAACCAGACATCTCGGCTACACTATTTCCAATTAGCCATTTTTTAATAACATTCACGTTTATTCAAATTTCCAAAGAGGAAGGGTGGGTTGAGTTTGCACATTCTAAATTATATTGTTATTTTTTTTTTCTAACAATTAAATTATTACAGTGATTGCTGCATATTCTAAATTGTTTCCAATGGTTTATTATTTTGATAAAATTAAGTTTTCATACTTTATATTAATCTAGTTTAATGTGTTAAATATTCATGAGTAGGGTGTTCATGGGTAGCACGATATTATGGGGTTTGACATCGGTACAAATTAACTTGACCAGAAAGTTTAGAGGGTGTGCAAGCATCTTGGAGATTCACACTCGCACGAGTGGGTCGTGTGTAGGGAATTGCTACACATCCCATTTGTTCGAGACTGAGGGCAATCCCTAGATGAGCTAGAGATAGGTCTCTAAATCATGATTGCACGTGATTGCATTAACATGACTTCTATAGTGGGGTCACTAACTGAGTATTTCTTCGGTCGCGTGTCATATTATTTTTCAGGTAAAGGCAAGGCACCCATGTACGGTTGACTGCGGCATCGTATTCAGAGATTGCGGTGTGTGCATAGGGTAGTTGCATATTTAAGTAAGTTCGACAGTGTTTTCTAGCAGTTTGATGTGTTATGACAAGTTTTTCTTTCAATTAAATATGTGGAGAAGAAAATTCGAACATTCAACTTCTCGTTTAAAGTATATATTTTAACAAGTTAAGTAGTATTTACGTTGCTAAGATCTTAATCTTATTATAATCGTTGAATTTTATTTCTTGTTTTGTTTGCCTTCACATTTTAAAATATTTCTTGTACCTTTTCAAATCTTTTCCTTAAATAAATAACACTTCAACAAAAATTGACAATTTGAGCACTAATCCATGTAGTTAGAACTAAAAAAATCGAAAAATTTCAACGACTATATTAAAATATTAGAAAGCACATGAACCAAAATAATATAAAACTTTGATGAACTTCGACCTAGTCTACAATCTATGTCTAAGGTTTTATGCGTTATAGTGGTTCAAACTCTCGTCTAGGGCTTGCCGAGTGATACGGTCTGAAAAATTATGTCTAAGGCTTCATGTGTTTCAAGCAGCATAGTCTGAATACCTACGCTCAAGGCTTCTTATGTTTTGAGTAGCGTAGTTTGAAAAACATACATCCAAGGTTTCTTACGTTCTGAGCGATGTAATCTAAATCATCAACATGTTATACCGTGTGAGGTCTAGGAGGTTATAGATAAAGGACTAGGGTAATTACTCTCTCTTTGTGGTTGTCCCAAACGTTGCCCTAGATTACTCGTGGAAAACCAAGAAGGTCATATGATCAGTACAAAACATGAACATGACATCCTGTAAATGAGGGAAACATGAGGCCAAACATGACATCTTGCTAAGAAAAATATTGTGCAGGACATTACACCTAGATGAGGAAAAATATGGGCTTCTAAAAGCACCATGTGGTGGGATGTCATGGGACACGTTGAATAAAAATATGACAAAGTTTAAATAAAAAAGCAGTCAATAATGCCAAGATTAAATACAAGATTAAATCCAATTACAAGACGATTTGTACAAAATTTTACAAACGGAGAAATTATAAGAAAAAATACAAGACTCCAAAATGTACAAAGCACGGTAGAGGAAATCTCATAATTTAGACACTAAAGAAAAGAAGATTTAGAAGGTTGTTATATGTCTACGTTATGAGATACATAGCACGGTAGGGAAGATAACTCCTAACAGTTATTCAGGTGCCCTCCATGGACGACACCATCATGATGGATATACACTCTAAACATGTAGGAAAAAAGGAAATTCTTCTCGAAAGAGAAAGTCTAAAGAATGTTCAAGTAGGCCTTCGTCAAGCAAGTCTAAATAATGAATTGGTTAGCCAAAAACTATACCATTATAGACCACAAGAAGGAAATGGTATTCTTGCCACCAACCAGACTAACTTTAAGTTTAAAGGAACTTGTATGGGAGTTACCCCAAAGATAGTGCCAATGATTAAAGCTAAATGCCTAGTACAATAAGAAGTGTGATCTCTAGCATGTGCAGTAGACGTAAAATGAAAAGAAAAGATGATAGATACAATACCAATAGTAAACGAATTTCTAGATGTTTTTCTAGAGGATTTACTAGGAGTTCCTCCTTTACGAGCCGTAGACTTCGGTATTGAACTCGAACTAGGAACTAGACCATCTCTAAAGCATCGTACCCCATGGCCCAGCAAAATTAAAGGAACTCAAAGTACAACTACAAGATCTACTAGATATGGGTTTCGTCCAACCTAGCATATCTCCTTGGGGTGCATTAGTATTTTTTGTGAAAAAGAAATATGGTTCGATGCGCCTATGTATTGACTATAGGGAGTTTAACGAGAGAATAGTAAAGAACAAGTACCCACAACCTTGCATCGAGGATTTATTTGACCAGCTCTGGGAGGCGACACTATTTTCCGCCAGATTAAGACCAAGGAAGGGGATGTACCGAAGACAACTTTTCGAAATAGATATGGCTACTACAAGTTCTTAGAGATGTCATTTGGCCTCACCAATGCCCAAGCTGTGTTCATGGAGTTAATGAAGTGGGTATTCAAGGAGTGTCTGGACACGTCTGTCATCATGTTTATAGATGACATCTTGGTATACTCGAGGACGGATCAAGAACACTAGGAACACCTCCAAAAAGTCTCAACTATCTTGAGGGGAAACAAGTTGTATGCCAAGTTCTCCATGTTAGGATCACACAACAACACACACTCGATCTAGATGAACACAAAGAACAGGATAGAGAAAATGCAAGGAGAACTTGACTAAAGGATTTATATTGATGACTTCAAGTATGTACAGTAAGAGAGAATACAGAGAATACAGAAAGTACATTTTCAAAGCTCTACCGGACGGGATATATATATAGTTCAGTTTACTATAATAGCTTTACCAGATTTAACCATCTACTATATATAGCTATTTACCATATATAGCTTTACTAAATATAGCTTTATCGAATAGCTTTATCGAATATAACCGTTGACAAAGCTATAAATAAGAGAGCAGGCTCCATAACCTAACAATTCTCCCACTTGGAGACTGATCTAGTCAACCAAGAATTTTATTCTCAAACGATCACTACATCATACCCTTTAAGGCTTTGCATAACCTTAATTTTCCAACATCAACACATTTTTTCAACATGTTTGCTGGGTTCTTTGCAGTCTCTATCTTCTCCAAACACATATCGCCTTCTTCCACTAACCTGCGAGTGAAATGGTATCGTCTTCTAATGTGTTTTATCCTTGAATGATAGACTAGGTTTTTCACCAACTGTATGGCACCCTGACTATCTATATAAAGGATCTTCTTGCACTGCTTCCTGTCTAATTCTTCTAGATAGTCTGTCATCCATATCATCTCCTTTCCAGTTTCAGCTATTGCCATGTACTCAGTTTCAGTAGATGAAAGAGCAACGCATTTCTAAAGCTTGAACATCCAACTCACTGCTGTTCCATCTATAGTGTAGATATATCCAGATGTGCTCTTGCTAGAGTCTACATCTTCACTCAGATCAGCATCCACAAAACCTTGCAGAACTACTTTGTCATTTCCATTTGTCATTTCCATAACAAAGTGAAGTACTGGATGTACCTTTCAGATATCTCAGAAGTCACTTCACAGCTTCCCAATGTTCTTTCCCTAGATTTGCCACGAACTTGCTAACAACTCCCACTGCATGTGTTATGTCAGGTCTAGTGCAGACCATAGCATACATCAAACTCCCAACTGCAAAAGCGTACGGAACTGATGCCATGTGCTCACGTTCCTCAACTGTCTTGGGAGATTGCCCCTTTGACAATTTAATATGATTTGCCAAGGGGGTAGTCTTGGGTTTAGTGTCATTCATCTTGAATTTGGACAACGCCTTCTCAATGTACTGTTCTTGGGATCGATTTAATGTGCCAACAGATCAATCTCGAGAAATTCTCATCCCAAGAATCTGCTTCACTGCACCCAAATCTTTCATCTCAAATACTGAAGACAAGCTTGCCTTCAGGTGGTTTATCTCCCTCATACTTGATCCAGCAATTAGTATATCATCCACATACAAGAGTAGAAACACATAAGAATCAGTGTATTTCTTGAGGTAGCAACACTGATCCTTTTCACTCCCGTGGAAACCACTCTTGCACATGAAGGAGTCAAACTTCTTGTATCACTGTCTCGGTGCTTGTTTCAGTCCATACAAGCTCTTATTGAGCTTACACACCATGTGCTCCTTGCCTGGAGCTGCAAACCCTTATGGTTGTTGCATATATATCTCCTCATCTAGATCCCCATGTAAAAACGCCGTTTTTACATCCATTTGCTCAAGGTGTAAATTCTCCGATGTAACAATACTCAGCAGAATTCAGATAGTAGTTAATTTCACAACTGGAGAAAAGATCTCAGCATAATCAATGTCTTTTCTTTGTGAATATCCTTTAACTACTAACCAAGCCTTAAACCTTATTCTTCCATCTAGTTCAACCTTGATTCTGAACACCATTTGTTCAACAAAGCCCTCTTTCCTGTCGGCAACTCAATCAGCACCCACGTATTATTATTTTCAAGTGAGCTCATCTTATCATCCATGGCTTGCTCCCACTTGGTTGAATCTTCCACTTGTAGGGCCTCATCAAAGAACTCTGGTTCTCCTTCGTCAGTCAGCAACAAATAATGTAATGAGGCTGAATATCTATCTGGTGCTCTGATAGTTCTGGATGATCTCCTCAACACCTACTCAGGTGTAACTTGCTCCACGTCTGGTTCTTCAGCAATAGGATCAGGAGTTTCTTGAGCTTCTGTTGTAACATCACTGCATGAATTTTTCTGCCACTCAAGTTCAACTCTCACTTGCTTCGTAGTCTCAGAGTTTATCTTCTCTCTGTCCGTGTACATGACATTTTCATCAAATGTCACATCGCAGTCTCTTAGGATTTTCATATTTTTCTCATCCCAAAACCTGTACCCGAATATGTCAGAGCCATAGCCTATGAAGTAGCATTTCACAGCCTTAGCATCAAGTTTATCTCTCTTCTCTGGATCAACATGAACATGCGCAGTACAACCAAAAGTTCTCAAGTAAGAGTACTTGAGTTCTTTTCCTGTTCATACTTCTTCGGGCAATTTGAACTTCAAGGGTACTGACGACCCTCTATTAATCAAATATGCTGCTATGTCCACAACATCGGCATAAAATGTCTTTGGTAGTCAAGAATGAATCCTCATGCTTCTTGCTCGCTCATTCAATGTTCTGTTCATTCTTTCT